GAAAAACCAAAACGAAAAAAAAAAAAAATAATAATAATAACTAACGTTCGTGGGATACGTAAAACTCATCGATATAAACTCATTATTATTATTATTACTTGATACTTTTTTAAGGGTTCAAAATCTACGTGAAAAAATAAAAAAAAAAAAAAATGGTGAAAAATATTTTAAAAAATTAAATTTTAAATACTCGCCTATTACGTCACACATGACCCTTACTCCATTTTTATTTATTTTTATTTATTTTATTAACTTTTTTAATAACGGTAATTATTATTATTATTATTAGTATAATTATTGATGCTATTTTTAATTTATTAAACGTTTCACTTCAATTATAAATAACGTTACGTAATCGTAAGAGATTGAGAGAGAGAGAGGGGAAGATTTTGAATGAATGAATGAAATTTAAATACCGCCCCCCAGCCCCGCCCCCACGACATTAAAGAGGTACATAAAAATTGATTTTATGTCTCGGTATGAAAACGAATATAATTAATATTTAAAAGAAAAAACATAAATCAACATCATAGTTGTAGGGGTGGTGGTGGTGGTGGGGGTGAAGGTTAAAGGTTATGTGTTACCCGAGTAATAAAGTTAAGTGTCCAATTATTAATCAGGTGATGCTCAGGACTTGGATACTCACATGGGATTTATTAATATTTAAACGAAAATAAAATTTCAAATGATGACTCTACTACTTCTTCTCCTTCTACTCCACTTTTCTTTACAAAAAAAAAAAACTTTTATCGAGAGCGTCATCATTTTTTATTCAAAAAAAAAAAAAAAAAAACCGTTAAACCGTCAATTTATACAAATATATTACGTACCTGTTACGTAATTAACATTTAAATATATATGCACGCGTTTTTGGTAATGTAAAAAAAATTTTTTTATATAAAAATAAAAGGTGAAGTAATTTTAAAAAATCATTGGGGGGGGGGGTGGGAAAGAGAGAGAGAGAGAGAGAGAGAGAGAGAGACAAATCAGGACCGTAGATTTCAGTAACCGTGACGTCGGACCGACTGAACGAAACAAAAAAAAAATTAATTTTTGCGGATAACAAAGTTTTTTTGCCACATAAATTGTTTTTTCGTTTTTTTTTTTTTAACTTTTTCCTTTTTTTTTTTCTCTCTCAATTCTCTCAGGCTATCTTTTCTAGATTTTAAATCTTTTTGTTCTGAACATTAAATTCATATACGTTATTAAAATTCGATCGTTTTTTTTTAAATATAAATAATTAAAATAATCTATATATACCTTGGCCGCCATTCTCATTCTCATCATCATTGTAAAGTTAAGAAAATTTTCTTCGGGGAAAAAAAAAACTTCTTCTTTTTTTGTTCAAAATTTAATTAATTATGTAATTTTTGTGTTGTATAAAAATTCCACAGGGAAAAATTTACACTTTAAGTAAAATTCAAGCTTGGAAAACCAGAATTTTAAATAATAACTTATTTTATTAATTTCCTCCTTTTCTTTTTATTGTAAAAAAAAAAATTTTAACTGCAATATTATTATTATTATTATTATTATTATTTAATTTTAAAACGAAAACAATCAGACAACATGGAAGAAAAAAAAAAAAAGAACATTTCATTTTAAATTATTTTACTTTTTATTATATATTTTAATAAAATGTGTAATTTATACACACGTGCACACGAATTATTCATCGGAAAATTTTTTTTTCTTTTTTTGTTTGTTTCCTTTTTAGGTTGACCATGTAAAAATGGCAAGTTTTATGTTTGTTATTTTGTTTGTTTTATCGATGAAAAATTTTCAATGTTTGGCATACAACACAGGACTCGAAATGACAACAACGTGTCCAAACGAATGCATTTGTTTATCGCAAACTCAAGTAAGAATTTTTCATTTAACTTTTATATAAAATGGAATTTAAAATAATAAAAAAAAATGAAATATTTAATATAAATGAAACTGTTTTAGGTCATGTGCAACACGGGAGGATTAACGGAAATGCCATTGAAGATGATACCGTCCACCGTAGAATATTTATCACTAGCAAAAAATGCTTTTGCTGTCATCAAAAGCGACGCTTTTAAAGGATTAAGAAATATACGTAAGCTAACATTAGACGGAAATAACATAACAACAATAAAACCATTTGCTTTTAGAGGATTGCCTAAACTTAGAGAATTATCAATACAACACACGCCCCTCACAACAATATCACAATTTTCTTTTGCCGGTTTACAAAATATAACATCCATACTACTCGGTCATAATAAAATAGAAATAATCGAGGGTTATTCGTTTGCGGGTACTTCGAACGTACGTTTGATATTATTAAATAATAATCCGGTACACAAAGTCGAAAGTCGAGCATTTTCCGGTTTGAGAAACGTCGATCATTTGATTTTTCCAAACGGTGTTAAAAATCTCGAATCCGATGCGTTTAGCGAATTGGATTACGTCGGTATATTAAAATTAGCATTTATGGATTTACAAGGATTAAAACCTTACACGTTTCGTGGACTTTCGCACGTGCAACTTCTTGCCATAACGGATTCGGATTTAGGTATTATTGAATCGAAAGCGTTCGAGGGTATGACACACATCGGAAGTTTGAATTTAATTAATAATAAAATAGATTCAATTAAACAATTTCACATAGGTAAATCGAATAACGTGAGAGTTATACGTTTCCACGGTAATCATTTACTCGAAACTCCTCGTAAGGACGCCATATTGATACAAAATGTCGAAACTTTGAGCATAAATAAAAATCATTTTCCATGCGATTGCCATCTTGAAATATTACTTTCGAGTTCTTTTATAAATAGCACTGTTGATTTTCGTCAAAATAATTATTGCATATCCCCATTGGATTTAAATGGTAAACCCATAAGTTACATACAATTAGATAATATTGGTAAATGCACAAGCGAAATATTAAATTCGAAAGAAACAATTCATGCATTTCAAAATAATTTTTCTTTTAAAAAATCAAATGAAAAAATTTTTCTTATATATTTAGTATTCTTATTGTGCATTAGATGAAACATATATATAATTGTTAGAAACGTTTTGAAACTAAAAAAAAAAAAATTCATTGATTTTAATAACGTTTAAAAAATTTATTATTGCTTTTTTTCTGCACCCGCCATTTTGAATTTCCAGTATATATATATAAGTGTATACCTATCGAACGTTTTTTTTTTATTTAATTATTATTTATATTTAACAAAAATACTCAATTGTGAATAATAATAATATTCATTTCTATAACGATTTACATAATAATAATAATAATTTAAAAAAAAAAAAAAAACTTGATAATCTCATATTTTATTTATTTATTCTTTATCCTTTCCTGAATTTTTTTTTTTTTTTTTTTTTTTCGGTTATTTTAATTTAAAATTTTAAACGGTTTTTTTATTATTATTATTATTATCATTTTTCCAAAAGGTATTTTATGCTTTTTTTTTGTTATTAATGCTACAAAATAATGCCCTTTTAACATTTGTTCTTCCGTTTGTTTGTTTGTTTTTAACATTTACATAGATGTAAATTTATTTATTTATTTATGTTAAAAAAATTTTATTTTATTTTATTTTATTTATGACATATTTATCGTCGGATATATAAACAAATAAAAATAGGTATTAACGTATATATTAATAATTTTTAATGACGTCATAATAATAATCTTAAAAAGCGTGAGAGAGACAACCGTTTTGTGTAAGTTTTAATTAATTTCAAACTAATTTATTTATTTATTTATTTATAAACAAATAAAAATTTGTATTAATTGTAATTTTTTTTGTTTAAAGACCGTTATGACGTAACGTTTTTTTTTTGTTCGATATTTTTTTATTAACGGAAAAAAAAATAAATAAATAAATAAAAAAAACAGTAAAATTCAATCGAGAGTATTCAAATGATGATTTTACTTTTGGGAATTAAATATTAGAATTAATATTAGAATATCACCCAATATAATTTTCAATTTTAAAATCCCTTTTTTTTTCACGTTCCCCCTCCTTCCTCTCCTGCACCCTCACATCTCCCCCTTCATCCCCCTCCGCCCGACGAACATTTTCAATTACCGGAAAACGCATAAATCAAGAGAGTAGGGGAAATTTTTACCAACGTTTGAGTCGTTTCTAAAATGCATCGTTTAAAAAAAAAAAAAATAAATAAATTGTTGTTGTTGTTGTCGTTTGTTGTTTGTCGTTTGTTGTTTTTGTCGAATGAAGATTTTCTCTTTTCCATTTAAAAAAAAAAAAAATTGGCGACATTCCAATCAATTAAAAACAAACATCCGGAAATCAACAAGTTTTCTTTTTTTTTTTTACATTCGATAAAAACCGGAAGTACCGGAAATATTTTTTTTTTTTACACTCACCACACGGAATTTTTTTTCTCCTTTTGTTTAATTTCGAATGTTTATCGTATCGATACGTAAATAATAATAATAATAATAAACGTTGATGATTTCCGGTTCGAATATTTATTTCCGGTTGTTAGTTATTACGTTTGAATTTTCCTGGTTTCAATTCTTACTAATAAATATTATCCGTGGTTTTTGATATTATTTACTAAAAATTCATCTTTCGTTTCGATTTCCGGTTTTTCTCAGCAGACGTAACTTCCGCTCCGGATATGATCCGACGTCGTAATTATTATTTAAGAAAAGAAATTTAACCTCGAATAAAAATATTAGGAAAAAAAAAAAATTTAATTTTTTCCTTTTTTCCTTTTTTTTTTTTTTATTTGTCAATCGATACCGGAAATTAAATGTTCGTTTATTATTATTATTATTATTATTACGAATAATAAAATTAATAAAATTTTAAAAGAAAATTAATAATTAAAATAACATAAAATGTTTTTTTTTTTTTTTTTCACGTCGGAAAATTTTTTTTTATTTCAAATTCAATTTTGATTTAATGTTTTTTTTTCTTTCTTTTTTTCCTTTTATGGTCTTTTAGTAATTTAAAAAAAAAAAAAAAGGAAAACTATTTGCGTCATTTAAGTTTGTTTTTATTACGTAATAAATAAACGCCTCCCTACCCCGCCCCTTCCCCCCGCCCCTTCCCCCCGCCCCCCCAAAAAGAAAAAAAAAGAGGAAAAAAATTTTTAACTAAAAACTATTATCGGTGGCAATAATATTTGATAGTTTTATTATTATTATTATTATTATTATTATTATTATTATTAATATAACTCAATATATATATTTAATAACGTGTCATGTACCGGAAGTAATAAAAAAGTTTATCAATTTTTTTTCTAGATGAATCCCCTACTCCCCCCCCCCGAAAAAAAAAACGAAACAAAACGAAAAAGATTGAATTTATTGGAAATTTGTCGTTGACCAAAAAAAAAAAAAAAAATTTTAATCATTCAATCATTCAATGATTGATTGAAACATAAATTTTAAAATACAAATTTTAATTTTTTTTAAAATTAGTTTGATGTTTGTTGGTTTGTTTGTTTGTTTTTCCGTCGGAATCATGTTCGACATGTTATTCATTAGGAATAGAGAGAAAAAATTTTTTTTAACGACGATGTAAAAACTTTTATTATTATTATTATTATTATTATTTAAAAAAAAAAATATAAAGAAACTCTCTCTCTTTGGCGGTGGCGTTGCTGTTGCTGTTGCTGTTGTTGTTGTTGTATTTTCTTTATGAATAATTAAAATCATTCATAACTCATAACCGTCCGTTTTTTTTAAATATTTAATTTTTCCCTCCGCCGCTGATTAAAAAATAACATTAGACTTAACCGACTTTTGTATATCACGGGTAAATAAATTCTTTCGTAAGGGTAACAACATAAAAACCTGGAGCATCCATCTTTTTCTTACCTTATCCCCTCCCTCCACCTCCTCCCCTCCACCCGGTTGTTTAGAATATAATAATAATAATTATTATCGTCATTGAATAATATTTTTTTTTTTTCGTAAAAAGTAAAAAATTTTTTTTTGCATTAAATTAAATTTAAAATTTTCCCATTGAATTTTTTTTTTTTTTTTTAAAACCAAATTGAAACATCGTTATTATTATTATTATTATTATTATTATTATTATCATTATTATCATTATCAGAAGGGGTGCTAACGTTTTTTTTTTTTTTTTTAACACGTAAAATATTTGAACATGATTAGAATGTAAGTAAGGTAAATTTCGTGTTATGATTTACATAAAATTTTATTTTCAATGAATTCGCATCCCCCGTTATAAGATTTGGGAGGGGAGAGGGACCGGTAAGGGAGGGGGGCAAACCAAAAAAGGTAAAAGAAAATTTTTCGATTCGTGTAATAATAATAACATTTTTTTTTTTTTTACAAATTCATTTATTGTAATTATCATCAATTTGTTTTATGTGTGTCATAAAAAAATAATATAAAAAAAAAAAAAAAAAAATTTTCTTTTAGGATGATAATCAATTATATTAATAATAATGATGATGATGATGATGATGATGATGTGAGTGATGATGCATTTTTTTTTTTTTTAAATTTAATAGATTTACTTAAATTTATTAAAAAAAAAAAGGGGCGGGGGTAGGGAGAGAAAATGAAGGGAGGAGGGAATTTAATGCATGCATACATATAATGAAATAATTTATCAAAAATAATAATAATAATAATAATAATAATAATAATAATAATAATAATAAAATTCATTTTTTTAAAAAATCAAAATTTATAATGGAAGAGAGAATTATTATTATTATTATTATCAATTTTTAACATGAAGTGATTTTGTGTGCTTGATGGAGTTTTTAAGCATTCATTCCACCAGGTCTCTACCCGATTCCTTAGGAGTAAATGTGGGAATATGGGTGATGCCGTCGAAAAAAGTGGGACGTCCCTCATTACGTCATTTCCTGTTTGGTTTCTTCTTTTAAATTCTACGAATTTCCTTTCATTGAATGTGGCATGGCTCCCAGTTCTACTTTCACGATGACCGGAATCGTTTCTGTTTCTGTTTCCGCCGGTAAAGATACTTCAATTATTTTACATCATTTTTCAGGATTATGTCGGAGGATGATGATATCCGGTTTGTCGACTGGCACAGTTCTGTCAGTGTGGATTTCTTGATCCTACAGAACCCGCTGTCGTATCATTCCTCGACTAGTCCATCCATATTCCAACAGAAATAATCACAAATTTAATTGTACCTTCCAAGATATTCACCTTTTCCCAATATCGAACAACCGGAAATTAAATGGCCGATCGTTTCCGACAAATTATTATTATTATTATTATTATAAAACTCCCACGTGTTGCACATGCATGCAAACTTAAATAAAAGAGGGGAGGGGAAATTTAATTGTTTCTAAAAATAAATTCTAAATTTTAATAAAAAAAAAAAAAATTATTTTGATAACTCGTGGATTCGAATGAGAACGAATTTGTCTCTGATAATAATAATAATAATAGTCGTTAAAAGGTAAACATTTAATAGTATATTAAATTACAATAATATGAGAATGTGCAAATTTTCATAATATATATATATATAAATATATAAATATGGCGAACATTAACAACGACAACAACAAAAAAAAATTGTAAAGTTTAAAGAGATAGAAAACTAGTCGGGTTATATCATTTATAAAATTAATTTTGTAATAATTAGTTCCATTATTAAGTATCATGCGCGTTATTATCAACATAATAATAATAATAATAATAATAATAATCATCATCATCATTACCGTTATCGTCGTCGTCGTCGTCGTTGCCGACGTCATAGATTTAAATATTAAAAACGATAATAATAATAAAAATTTTGTTTTTTTTTTTTTTTTTCGAAATTGAATTTTCCAATCGATTTTCCTTTTTAATTGAAATACATAAAAAAGTGCGAATGGGATAATGATGATGATGATGATGATGATGATGATAATTATTAAACGTCACATGTGTATTGCAACGAAATTACGAGGGGGGGGGGAGGCGAGAAGAGAAAAAAGAAAAAAATTTTTTTGGGGTTTTGTTACGACTTTAAAAAAAATAAGGGACGGGGGTAGGGAGGGGAAGG